CAACACAGAGACTTATTAATTATGAAAGCTCAGCAAACAGCTTAAGTTTGTTTCTAACTAGCTCTTATAACTTAAATAACCCATTTCTATTAATTTATGTGCTGTCACGTGGCTCATGGCTTGTTATCTCATCTCCTACATGTCATGCTCCCTTCACATCTGGCTGGTTACCCTGCCTTCTTCTTCCCAGTGTCCTCTCTGCCCCAGAAATCCTGCCTAGCTATTGGCTGTTTAGCTTTTTATTAAACCAACCACAGTGACATATCTTTACACAGTGTAAAGGGATAGTCTACAACAGTTCATTACTTAAATTATTGTTCACATGAAAATTTTATACCTATACTTTTACCTTTCTCAATAATTCCAGACTAGCCTATCCAACTAACTCCTCGATATGCCACTACTTAGAATCCTGAAAAGAATCATCATATCTAAAATACAAATAAATCATGATTCTTCTTCATCCCAAGTTGGTCCTCTGAGGGTTCCCTGTGCCAGTAAATGTGCCAGTAGCCTTCTGTCCTACAAAGCAGTCCTCTTTGACCTCCACTTACTACCTATGTCTTCTAGACATTAACTCTTTCAATATTGATGCTCTTTTTCAAAATCCATCTACCATATTTTTTAACCACAGACACCATGATGTTTCAAACATCCAGCAACACTAAAAAGTTCACTATAAATTTCTCCTACATGCTTACCTTGTGTTGTCTCAGTTTACTGAAATTCATTCTCCGTATTATAACCAGAAGAACTGCTATAAAAAAAATGCTAAATATACTGAGTAGTGGTGTCAGATGCCTTTAACCCCAGCACTTGGGAGGCAGTGGGAGGTGGACCTCTGTGAGTTCAAGACCAGCCTGGTCTACAGAGCAAGTTCCAGGACAGCCAAAGAAACCCTGTCTTTAAAAAAAAAAACAACAAACAAACAAACAAAAAAACTAAACACCTGCTCAACCAAAGTCAATGGTTGTTGGATGTTCCTATTATCTTGGATCTGTATGGTGGAGCTTCAGCCTACCTCAGACAGGCTCAGTGCCTGCCAGTCTTCCCTTTCTTCTATACCTCTGTTACCTTAACCTTCTTTTGGTTCCACATACAAAAAGATTTCCCTGTTCCTCTGTTAGATAGGGGGACACTTTCTGTTCCTTTCACATCATCTACCTGTCCTTCACATATCACCCCATAACTCAATCCCTATTTCAGTGGCGTCTTCCAGAGAAAGAGGGAAAGAGGCCACAAGGCAGTCCATGGATTTCTGTTTACACCGAGGTCACTTATCCATGAATGAGACATCTGCATTCCCATGTATCTACTGAAGTGAATTCTAGAGTTAGGTTATTTAAATGAGTCTAAAAGTTACATCTGTTCATATTGTTGAGAAAAAGCAATACTAAAAACACTTTCATGTTGTAATGTTGTAATGATTTTTTAGTGGTGAATCAGAGCTTTAAGGGACTTGTGTTATTTTGTGACATTTGACTCTCCTCTGTGCATAGACAAATACTTCCTTTGTTTGGAACGCTATTCCAAACCATCAGACACAGCCAATTATAAACACCTTGGAGTATTCTTTCATTCAGAGTACATTTCTCCATCTCAGTCATTAAGTCTAGCAACTGTATTATCAAAGTCCTGCTTTAATCATTCCTAGTATTGAAATAGATAAGTATTTTCTAACATTGTGTCCTCCTATTGGGAAAGTAAGGTGGCTTGGTTTTAAAAGTTCCACACTAATTAAATGGGGTGATTTTATCAATCCTGCCACCACCAAGGCTCAGAGAACATTGTGGAGGAGAAGGAAGAAAGCATGTAAGAGCCAAAGGATGGGAAGAAGAGCTGGAAAATGCTGTCTTCTGGACATGGTGTGGGTATCACTGTGATGCTCTCACAGCAGCTGTGTATCCAGATGAGATCAAACCGGCCTAACACTGGTGTGTACGGGTGGATGACCTCCAGACCCCACGCCTCACTAAGGAGCTAGTGGCAGTAGACAGTTGCTGGGGGAGGGAAATCATTCTTTTATTGAGGGTATGGCCACTGGTAGGTTTCCCACGCTACAGTGGATGGCCCACATTCTTGCACATATAGGCAGTATGAACTGGACTTAGTGGGTTATCAAAAAAACCCAAGAAGGCTGAAGCTTGGAGGGGATGTTGGAAGAAGTAAAAAAGGAGTTGGAAGGAGAAATGGGAGTATGTATGATCATATTTCATTGTACACACGAATGAAATCTCAAAAATAAAGAAAAAATGGAAATTCCACACTAAGGGGACCCGAGAGGTGGCTTAGCGGTTAAGGGCATTTGCTGCTTTTACAGTGTACCAGAGTTTGGTTCCCAGCACCCACACTGGGTGACTTATAAACCACCTGCGTCTCTAGCTCCAGAGGATCTGACGCTCTCTTTTGACCTCTGGAGGCACCTGCACACATGTGTGCAGACACATACACACACACACACACACACACACACACACACACACACATACACACACACACACACATAAATCTTTTTTAAAAATTCCATGCTAAAAACTGATAACAACTTTATTTTTAAAGGTCTAGATGGACACCCTTCTCACCACCACCAACCACCAATAGTCGTAAAAGAGATGTTCAATAGAGGGATGGCCAAGTACCTACTAAATAGCTAGCAAAGGTTTGTTACATGTACATTGCTATTTGAAAGGTGTTCATGGAACACTTAGTCCTTCACAAAAGGTACACTGAATGCCTCCTCTGTGGAGACATTGTGCTTAGTCCCGGGTATGCAGTGATAAAGAAAGCAGATACAGTTCTTGTTGTAGTGAACCTGCAGGGCAGTGAAGAAGATATCATCAAGAAAACAAAATTAAAAACTACTATTCCAGCACATGCCTTTATTCCCAGCCCTCAGGAGGCAGAGGCAGGCAGATCTCTGAGTTAGAGCCCAACCTGGTCTACAGAGTAAGTTCCAGGAGAGCCAGGGCTACACAGCGAAACCCCGTCTTGAAAAAACAAAAAACAAAAATTACTATTCCATTACAAGTTGTGATATGTTTTTTGTATGTGTGTTTGTATGTCTAAGAACATGTATGGATGGGTACATATGCACAAATGTTGAAGTCAGAGGATAACCTTAGATATTGTTCCCAGGTACGTACAATCCACTTTTTTATTTTTTTTGAGACAGCATCTCTTCTTGGCTTGGAACTCATCAAGTAGATCAAGCTGGATACCCAGCAAGCGCAGAGATCCATCTAGTTCTGTATCCCCAGTTCTGAAATTACAAAGATGTCATAGCCCTGCTCCAGCCTTTTTTTTTTTTTTTTCATATGAGCACTGGAGACCAAATTCATTCCTTTGTGCTTGCATGGCAAGTACTGTGCCAAATGAGCCTTCTCCACATCTCATAGGCAGGGAACCAAGAGAAAGTATACACTGGTTGCACCAAGAATTTGAGTGTGCCTAAAGTAAAGGATGTGAATGGCAAGCAGTCAAATCACGGAAGCCTTTACCTATCACCCTAACAACTTCCATTAAGTCAATGGGTAGAGAAGCAACGTGATCAGAATTTTCTATAGTATAAATCTGGACATGTCATCCCTCATGAAAGAATTGACTCTATTAGAGATAGTTCTACCTTCTCTGTCAAATATTTCTCTTTTTGCCAATGCTTGAAGAGCATCCCTTACTTGAGACTCTGTAAAAGTAACAGTTGTAACTAGTGTTGCTGAGATGGAGCCTAACCCAGAGAAAGAATGGACCATTTACTAATAGTTAACTTCAGTACCACATACAGTCTGTAAAATGTACCTATATCTTTATTTATCATTCACAGCAACTTTATGAAACATGCAGCTGGAATCACTATTGCCTTAGTGGAGCTCTGCTGAAGAGCTAGCTGCCCAGTCTCTCCCATGTTCCTCTTCTGACACTTGCGATGCCTGTTTGTCCTCTTCTGGTCATATGCCAGTCAGAAGATTTGTTTCCATGTCAATGTGCTCACCTCCTTGTAGCAAAGCAGATATATCACACAGGGCTGCTCCACCACTGTGTCTCCAGGTTCTTCAGTGTCATGCTTTCAGTTAAGATTTCATCTGTCTCTGTGTCTCCATTATTGTTTATATTTAGCACAATTATAACAAATTCAAGAACAGACAATTCAGTTTTATTCTAAAGGCAAATTAACACCAGTCTAGTGAAAGCCTACTCTAAAATTTCACCTCAAAAACGCCATTGAAAGTAACAGGGAGTGTTTGTACAATTAGACTGGGATGGCTGATGTGTCTACAGAAAAAAAAATGTTATTTCTAGAACAAAAGCTTCCATGATAACCATTGTGAAGTCAGTCATCCAATGAAGAAAAATACAATGAATGAATGAAAAGATTTAACATACAGAAAGTATAATTTCACAGGGACAGATTTGCCTAGAAAAAGCAAAGTTGTCGGGCAGGTATGACACGGGCCTTATTAGATCCTTCCTCGGGAAAACGGAGTTTTAATGAGCACTTAAGAAGCTACCACCACGGAGCAGAATAAGTGCCACCCAAGAAGTTGGAGGGGGACTGTCATCAAAGTTTGCACAGTATGGAGCTGACCAAGTCTTTTCGTTTTCCTTTGATCTCATTTCCTTGCTTCCAAAATCAAGCCAACATCTTTATTATTCCTTTAGTTGTTTGGTTTGTATCTTTAGGCTCCTACCCCATTCTACAAGTGATTGAAGCAAAGAAGATATTTCTTCTGGCACTAAGATTCACTGACTACATTTATCTAAGTTTGCTTTTGGAGCAAATGTTCAGTGACTGAACTGATGTCCTCCCAACTATGACACACCAAAGACAAGAAATATTAGTAAGTGAACATTGGGACCTACTACATCCATAATAAACTACTCTGTGTACAAATACCTCATGACTGTGAAATTTCAGAGCTAATATTCAGCTCAGAATCCCAAAGGACTGAATGGTGTTTAGAATTTCTCTGCTGAGTTCTGCCAATGGCACATCCTTGGGAGAGTCACACACTTGGTACCAATGGCACTTTGCCCAGCAGTTTTTTCACAGCATCTTTTACTTCTTTGTTTCTTAAGCTATAAATTATTGGGTTCAACATAGGGGTAAGCACTCCATAAAGCAATGAGATGATCTTGTCTATTTCTTGTGAGTTTGATGAAGAAGGCTTCAGGTACATGGAGAGAGCAGCTCCATAATATAAGATCACCACAGTCAAGTGTGCACCACAAGTTGAAAAAGCCTTGTTTCTTCCCTCTGTTGAACTGATTCTCAGAATTGTAGAAAGGATGAAGCCATAAGAGATGCAAATCAAGAGCATTGGAATGGGCAGAAGGAGAATACTGACCACCAGCATAACCATGTCCATGAGTAGTGAACTCATGCAAGCTAATTTTAGCACCGCCAGAATTTCACATGTGAAGTGATCGATAACATTTCCACAGAGAGGAATCTGAAGGGCAAAACTAGTTTCCAGCAGGGCAGTGAGACAGCCTGTCACCCAGGAGACAGTGGCCATCTGCACACAGACTTGCCTGTTCATGATGATGGGGTACCTCAGTGGGTTGCAGATGGCCACGTAACGGTCATAGGCCATCACAGCCAGAAGTATGCACTCTGTGGATCCCATGGAAAGGGATAGGTACATCTGTACCACACACCCAGAAAAGTTAATGGTTTTCTTGGATGACAGCAAGTTCACAAGCAAAGTGGGAATGGAAGCAGATGTGTAACAGATATCCATGAAAGAGAGGTTTCCAAGAAACAAGTACATGGGGGTTTGAAGGCGTGAATCCAGGACAGTGATTAAAATAAGAGTACTATTACCCAGGAGGGTAACCAAATACATTACAAGGCTGAAGACAAACAGAACAATCTCTAACCTTGGGTACCGGGAAAATCCCTCCAGGAAAAAAAGGCTCCAAACAGTGAAATTTTCTCCTTGCATTTCCTTCCTAGCACCACCACCACTGATAGTTACCTAGTAAGAGTCTCTTCATTTCATCTGAGGAACGTAAATAAATGTAATGTTTGTTTAGCTAGGAAAGTACAATTCCACCACACACACACACACACACACACACACACACACACACACACACACACACTCTATAGGAGAGTGTGGTCTTTTTAATCTAAGGGGAAGAGACAGGCTTGATCTGTTTGATTACTCCACAATCTAGGAGAAATTCACTTCTAGATTTAGAAAACAACGAATTGGAATGAAGAAAGCCAATTTTATATTTTATGTCAGCCCATAATCCTGTCCTTGGAATAGTCGGTTTTCAATAAAAGTGTGAAAGTGACCAAATGAAGAAAAATGTAAATGGTCATCGGATAAGTCCATTTTGAACTTTGTAAATTGAACACAATTTAGCAAAATAGGTCACATACTTGAAGAGGTGAGAGCTCATCCTAAAAATCAGGAATGCTCTTAAGTGGATGAAGGAAGGAATGCTGACATAAATGAATGAATTTTAAAACAAACTCTGAGGAAGAGGAAGAAGAGAAAGAGAAGAGAAGGGGAAGAGAGCAGAGGGGAAGGGAAGAAAGAAGAGAGGAGAGGGGAGGAGAGGAGAGGAGAGGAGAGGGGAGGGGAGGGGAGGGAAGGGGGGGAGGGGAGGAGAGAGGAGTAGGTCTAAATGAACTCTGTCTAGTTAGCAGCCTATAAAATTTGCTTCAAAAAGGATGATATTGTTTAAAGCATTATGATTACATTTAAGAACCATTTTATAAGTGAAACAAAAATATCTCACCTCATTTAAACACTGATATATCCATTACACAGTTTCCTCCAGTATTGAGCCCCATACTTCATACTTAAAAGTTCTAAAAAAAGTTTATACAGGTGATTCTCTTACTATGTCTTAAAATCAATGGATTTCTAGGAAATGCAGAAATTAAAGTCTTGTCAAAAATTTATTTAAGAGTTTTTTGAAAATTAAGGATGATACAAGTTGTAAAAGAGGCATTTCAGATTTTATTTTTTCCATGTTACATTAACAAAAATTATTCCAGAAAACGTACCTTGCTTTTGACTTCCACTGCTCATTATCATCTTCAAACTTTTTCTGCCCCCTCATCCTCTCCAATCTTTCTTCAAACACACATGCTCTTAAATATTCCCTTCACTGCCATCCCATCATGCATACTGCTATCTCTTGACTTTCTTTCATAGAAAAACCCACCCATCAGATAGATGCTCAATGTTGCGATAATTCAGCCTTCGTTTCCTTTTCTTGTTTCAGGGTTTTGGTCACTACAATCAGCCTTCTCCTCGTTCTCCACCTTTAGAGTTGACATCCTCAGAGATGGTGGACAGAGTAACACCACCACAATGTCTTATTGTATTGATGATAGAGACATACAGTTTTTCAAACTGCCTCCATCACATTACATCATCTTTCCCTCTCCCTCCACTGTTGCTCATTTCTACTCAATTAACAAGTGCTTTCATTTTTTTTCCTGTTTTACTAATTAATTCCTAAGCAGCTTACACTGCAAGTCCAAATGTTATCAGTAACACCAAATACAGCTTTAGTATCCCAGAAAAACTTCAGAATTCCTCTTTTCTATGATAACCAAACATAGTTTTTTCTTCTCTTCTTAATATTTTCTTCCATCAATAATAGTTGATTCTTACATTAGTTGACTAATATTTCTTGTGAATTTTTCTGCAAAATTTAATACTTGGTAAAATCCCTGTCAAGTAAATTACTTTAAAGAAGCAAATTATATACTGCTGTTAAGACCAACATTAGCTTGGGTGCTCAGAATTTGATATTTTTGTACTGCACAAAAATAGTAACCAAGGCCGGGCGGTGGTGGCGCACGCCTTTAATCCCAGCACTCGGGAGGCAGAGGCAGGCAGATCTTTGTGAGTTCGAGGCCAGCCTGGGCTACCAAGTGAGTTCCAGGAAAGGCGCAAAGCTACAAAAAAAAACCCCTTAAAAAAAAAAAAAAAAAAAAAAAAAAAAAAAATAGTAACCAAGAAAAAATAGTTCTCCCACCTGAATTCTGTGCTATAAATGCCAAATAAAAATGTTTTATAATATACTCAATAAGTTAGTTATGGTTAGTTATGTCCAAAGAAGAATGAATATATATGTGTGTTTAAAATGTGAAATGCTACAGAAAAATCAATTATGCAATTCATTTCTTTCAAAATGACCCGCTGTTACCAACATAACCAAAACTACTAAAGGATCACAACTGCAATACCATGTAAGTTTAAATCACTTGTTGTTTTGGGGAATTCTTGTTGTCCCTGAACAATTTAAAGTTCAGCAGTAATAATATACAGAGCTTTGAAACTTCTCATCCTTCAGGGATAATGTCCCAAAGATGCAATTATATCAAACTTTTAAAGACTTCAAAGGCAAATGACAGGTCCTTCAAAATACTTGCAAAGATCTCATAAAAACAGTTTTTTTATTCCTCCTTCTCCATCAATCCTTAGTAGGTCAAAGACTTTTTTAAATGGTTGTAATATAGAATATTCAACAGAAAATATGTCCTAAGATATATAATTTTTTATTTGTGAAATTATTTCCTAGTTTTCAGAAATTAAGGGCATTTGTTCTTTTAAAGCACAAACAACTCATTGAGTGTCTCAACGAGTGCCAGAAATTGTATTCAATGCACTCCTGTCGACATGCCCTCCTGACAGCAACAGAACATCTAAGATCTAGATCTTGGCTTCTGAACAGAATTGTGACCCTAAAGTAAATACAACGTTTTGGAAAAGTAGCTGATAAAAAATTAACAGATAGCCGGGCGGTGGTGGCGCACGCCTTTAATCCCAGCACTCGGGAGGCAGAGCCAGGTGGATCTCTGTGAGTTCGAGGCCAGCCTGGACTACCAAGTGAGTCCCAGGAAAGGCGCAAAGCTACACAGAGAAACCCTGTCTCGAAAAACCAAAAAAAAAAAAAAAAAAAAAAAAAATTAACAGATAAAGGATTAACTCAGTGTCTTATCATGCTAGAATGCAAGAATATTCAGAGTGGCAGGAACATTTCACAGACATGCACTTGATGAATCCTCCTTGCCGAAGCCAGGACAGCTTATTTTGGACATCAACTTTTAAAAACCTACAAATTAATGGGCATAATTCATCAATTAAGTTAAAATGCATCAGTTCATTATGTTATAAATAAGGAGGAAAACCTCTTTCCCACTACAGGATGCCCAAAATAATAAATACAGAAGAATAATGCCAATTAGAACAATCCTAATTAAAGGTTATTTTAGGGAATAGGTATCACAAAAAGTTATGTAAACTACAGGATAGTTAAATCGTGCTGAAATATCTCATTGCAAGCTACTTGACAATTTCAAAGACAAAATAATAACATTAAAGTGGAGAGTCCTGGAAGAATCATCATAACATCACCAACATCATGAGAAACTGACTCCATGTGCTCCTGAGATGATGCATTGAGGCTATGGATCATTTCTGTGGTATGCCCATCAAAAATAAATCATCCAAATCTAGTCATGAGGAAAACAAGGACACCAGCATTTGGGGATAGTCTTTAAAATAATGTTTCTGCCTATCAAAATATTAAGACAGGAAATAAGCAAGCAAACAAATATCTTGTGCAGTTACTATGTGGTGATATAAAAAAGCAAAATCTCTTCAATTTGTTCTCAACTATTTCATTAAAAGATCTTTAGAGCTGGGAAAATAGTGAGTTTATAAATACATCCCCTTTATCAGTTTGGGCCTGCAGCTCATCTCTTCTTTTTCGCATGGGATCTCACTGTGTATCTCAAGCTGGTCCTGAACTTGTGATCCTCCTGCCTCAGGTTCCAAGGTTGTAGAACGAGGCCCAGTTTTGTACATCTTTATGATGGTTCATTTATTTTAAATCACTGAGGGTAAATGGATGCTTGAGATAGAGGGTATGGAAATTTATTTTTTGTAAATTTTTATTTTTATTTATTTTTTAAATTACACTCATAATATTCATTACTTACACTCATGATATTAATCACATTTGTGGTATTCATAGATTACATTCGCAGTATTCATTCAATTATATATATATATATACACACACACACATATATATATTTTTAATTTTAAATGTCAAATGTCATTTCTTGAAGGGGGTAGGAGGTTAAACACAGGCTAACAGCACAATGGGAGGACCCCAGAGGGCAGAAGTTCACTACTGATGTTTTACAATCTTGCATCTAAGCTGTTAACGCCCATTATTCAGGATACACAGACAAGAAACTTCCCTTAAGGATTCAGGAGGGTGGAACCTGGCAGGGAATTAGCATTGGGAGGATATCAAGGTCAAGGTCCGCAAACAAGGCAACAGTTACCCAAAACTGGGGCCAGGGCCCTGCAGGTCCCCCTTTTATTAAAAAATGAGCTTCTGACTTGGGTTGCGTGGGACATCAGCAGGTCACCTTACCCATCATGGAGATGCCTGCCCAGGCCACACAGGTGCTCTGTCTTAGGTTGGTGAGTGCCCCCCAGGCATCACCCATCTCTGAATACTCATTACCATACCGGCTCAGTTGTGTGTGAGTTGCATGGTTAATTGCTGCCAAAGATCTCAAAGTGGCACTGGGCTTGCAATCTGTGTGTTTGATACAGAAAAGACCAACAGAGGTCCTATCTCACCCATAGCCAGTAGGCTAAAGGCAACTGAGCCATTCCCTTCCTTAACGAGCCATACTGTACGTTGGAGTCCTTGTAAGATAGTATCCCAAAAGCAACTGGAACTTGAGTTTATAAATTTATAATTTTCAAAGCCAATCAAGATGTATATAACTACTGAATTAAATTTATCATGCCCAATAGAATGAAAGATTAACTGTGGTAGCTACTTTTGTTGCCAGGCTCTCCACTGTGTTAGCTGTAGTAAGCAATTATGAAATGGTAATCCCAGAAACAGTAACAGTGGTGTGTGCCATTGTTATAACAGCAACAGCGG